GCATGGCAAGAGGACTGCATGGTGTGTGGAAGAGCGTAGGGAAGACAGCTGCAGCTGTATCTGCATCCCGGTGAGCAAAGGGGGCAGGGACAGCTCTGATTTTTTTATGATAAAAAAAACATCAAAATGCCAAAATATAAAGATATTTCAAATTTATTGTATGATAATAATTGAGGCACTGGTAGGCTTCTGAATTGCTTAAAGATTATACATAAAACATTGTGTTCAACTGATACCTATACACATATATACAGATATCTATATCTAGGTATCAGTTGAACACAATACAGACACACATATATAATGGCATTTCTTTTTAATCACGGAAAAACATGGATGGGGGGGTTAATCAGAGAATTTGGGATTTTATCAGAGAACCTGCTATTTTTAAAACAGAGAAAACCAGGATCCCTGGACACCACTTTTTTTTTTTTTTAAATCTCAAATTTCCCTTTTGGTGGCCAAGTTCTCTTGATTATTTTACATAATCCTTGTGGTTTTACTACTGGTTGCTTGTGCTTAAATATTAGTTATTCCATAATTTCATGATACAGGAACACCAAGAATGCTTTGTTTTAGAAGTGGGTCAGATGAATAAATTAACCGCCTAGTACGTTACTGTTCCTTGTCTTTATATATACTGTTCATACTCTCCTTTGTCATGTTCATCTCCCATAAAAAGAAGAAAAACTTTAAAAAATTGCTTACATGCATACACCTCACTTAGTGATTGTGGCACTACCTTACTCAGTTGTTCTCAACAGGGGTGCCATGAGCTACTCTTGGGGGTGCTGCAGGGTGCAAGGAGATCAACTCATCTCAGGGCAAGCTCACATTTGTCCCTGATGGTCCCTGTATGTGGAGTTAAGTGCTCACTCCTCTCCTGTTGTGCAAGAAGCTAAGCATAGGCATGTCTATGTCCAAAAAGGTAAATGTCATGGTTTCCCCTGCTCACGGGGGGTGGAGGGGCTAAGTGCTTGTTCCTCCTTCCCCTGCTTGCCCCACTCTGCCAGGAGTTAAGGTTGGAACAAATTAGATACTAAATTGGGGTGGTTCAAGTCACAAGAGTTATGGAGGGGTGCTGGATGCCAAAAAACACTGATCTACCTACTACTGACTGCTTTTACTTGCACTAATAGACATTAAATTGAACAAAACTTATGTCCTCCAATGAATACTGCCGATACAAATCAATGTGCGTAATATCTCTTTCCTCAGCTCTAAGCATCTCTCTTCCTCATACACAAATCATCTTCTGAGTAGTTTCCTTGATTTCCCCTTCTTCTCACCTTTGACTAAGTTTTAGAACCCCTGCCAAACACAGCGAAAAGATAAAAACTAAATGCCTACCCAGCTGCTGTGCTCTGCCAATCCCTCCCATTAGGACTGCTGGATGTTATGCAAATAACTTAAGTTCCTTCCACAGAACTACAAAGACTTCCTTCTGAGCTCAATACAGCAGCTGGTTTGTTAGCCACAGTTTCAGTTCTTTAAAGTGGAATGTTTCCAAGTTTCCTAGGGACCTGGATATATGCCCAAAATGGTCCCGTGCCAGTAACACAGCAATGAATAAAAACCGTACTATTGGTCTATCCTGTCAAAAGGAGGCTGTTTAGTAACCCTGCCTCATGTCAGCCTCGATGGACAGAAATGAATTATCCAAGGGGCCTTTCTGTGATCATTCCGTTGTTGATCAAGAAAATGGAAATCTGCCCATATTACTATGTAATTTTAGCATTTTAAAAGGAATGCATAATTTTGATAAAAGCATTAATCTTTGCACTATTTATCAAGATTAAAATTCTGTAAGCCACAGGTCTCAGCCTCTCCTAATCTTAAAAAATTGGAAACAATTTGATAATGTAAGCAAGAATAACAGGCCAAAACTGATAACAGACATTTGACTTGCATGTGACTGATTTTACACAGTGGTATGTATGTGTAACAGTCAAAAGAGTAACAGGAGTTTTAGTTTATTTCCAGTCTGCAAGGAATAATATTTAAAGTAATATATTTATAGTGCAATTTTCCAGTGTTGTAGTGCATCAGCTGCTTCATGGGAAATTCAAGTTTGGAAGTAACTATAGTTTGTGACCCATGCTTCCAAGCCCAATGGAAGCAAGGGCATGTAAAGGAAATAAGCAAGATGGTCACAGGCTACCTTTCCTTTCAGAAACTCTATAGCAGATGATACAAGAAACAACACTAATGGTAGCCTGAGCTTCAGTGAAAGAATACTTAACCTTCTAAAATAAGATATTTTTTGAACAGATGCTCCTGTCACATGGAAAATAAAATAATCAACAACTTGATAAATTTTATAGGCATATTCTAAATTAAATTATTTCCATTTGTTGCTTCTGCTATTTTTTTTAATAACTGATACTAGGAAAATGTACATGGAAATAACTTGTTGCTGGAATTCATCTATTTCTACTGCCTAGTCATTAAAACCAGAGGCCAGAAGTTTCTATGTTGGGAACTTCCTAAATCCAAATTGTGAGATTTTTCAGAAGCAAATTGTAGATTAGATTGTAAGTGCTCAGTGCTTCTGAAAACCAGGACACTTATTTAGGTATCCAAACCTAAGGATTTAGTTGTCTAACTCTTCCAACTTGGCTTTATAATTCTGGCCATACTTGACTATAAGATCACACACCTTTCTACAGCGGTGGATTACGATGTCACACAGGAAATTACTACCCAAAGTCCAGAGCATGTAAAACATTGCAAGGAGCCTATTGTCATACAAATGTCCCTAGAAAATACAACATCTAAGATTAATTCTCTTTAAACAAAATGTTTTGCAAAGTTTTCCGTGAGATATCAGTGAATCTTTAAGGCTAACACAAACTATAACTGAACCACTTACCCAGACTGCAGCTGCATAGAAATAGATGGGAAATAGTACAATGTACAAATTACAAGTCCAGTTTATGAAAAAATGGCTTAAATTATACATCAGATTTACAATAAAACTGTAACTACAGTAGAAATGGTTACTTTTCATACCAATCCTTCAGATTCATAATTAATATGCAAATTTTGGTAGGCAGCAGAAAAAAATGGGATAAAACTCTCATTTTGATTAAAAGGAAATACATGAGTTTCTGTATATTGAATATCTGCTGTACACTTACTCATCTGTGCTCTATTTCTTCATGTTTATGGTCTTTGGTTGCAAGTGAACTGTAAGGCAGAAAATGAAAAAAGCTTGCTGAAATCATAACATTAGTAGAAAATATTTACAAATCAGTTTATTATTCCAGTAAATACATTAAACCAAAGCTTAAATGATTTGAAAGAGTTTTAATTAAGCGACTATGATTATACACTAAACACAGGATTTGTCGCACTGGTGTAAGTCAGTATCAATTCCTTTCATGTCACTGCAGTTACATTAATACAAAGCAGATGTAAATGAGCAGAAAAAAAATGAGAATGTTTGTACTTTTGAAAGAGACAGGACTGTCACTAAAGACCTACATTTAAAAAACACAAAAAACCCTAGATTTCCTTCTTAAAAAGGCACTTATATACTAGATTCCTTGACTGCTGAAGAACCCAGACAAGAAACTGATTAGCAAGTCCCACCTGCCAAGTATTATGATCAACCCTATTATTCAAAGATTCATTATAACTAAATATGAAAGGGACACAAGAGTACAGTACACAACTATTTTATTTTGTTATCTTTGCAAAGTATAACAAAGAGTACCTATCCTATACCCTTGGCACTTATTGATGGAGTTTTTTTTTTTTGCACACCCCCCCCTATATTTATTTTCTGCAATTTTTTTTATGGAAACCAAAAAGATTGGAGCACTGACTATTTCCTTTTACGGCAAGAAAAGGAGGGGGAAAATACCCATTTCTCCTAAATTATTATTAACCAATAGTTTTCTTCAGAAGTTAAGCCTCTGAATCCTGGCAAATGAAGGTTACCCATCTGTAACCTAGAGTTGAAGACATAAGGACAGTACAGTCCGAGACAGTGAACTAAGCAGCAGTACCTATGGGACCACTCATGTCATTCCCTGGTATACTGCCTCCCTCCTCTTGAGCCTAAATGTTTCGAGGGTGGGAAGACAAGGGCTGTGTGCAAACATTTATTTCTAGCAGCGGTGTTTCCACTGCTAGAAATGATTCAGGGAAAGGGAGTAGTGCAAACATTTAATTTGCAACCACCTCCTCTTTCCTGCTCCTTGAGCCTTCCCAAGACTGGGATGGTCCCAGTCTAGAGAAAGCATGGGCTGCTCCAATCCTCCAATTTCTGGGGAGGAGACTGAAGTAGTGGGGCAAAGCCTCCTCCTGCCCACTTCTCAGACCAGGGATTGCAGTCTGAAAACCAGACAGAGGGTTTTGCAGCTCTGCACCCTTTGGCCTGCTCCCAGTTCCCAGAGATTTGGGAGGCAAAGGGATTATGGCAGGGCAAGGAGCCAAGCTTGGAGACGCTCTCCCCTGCACCAATTCCTGGTGTATGGTCTGAGCTATCCTGCCCCTGCCATTTATCTTGGCAGCAGAAGCAGCATTTGAAAGCTCAGGGGGCAAGAACTGAGCTGGGGAAGCTCTTCTTGGCCCACTTTCCAGCCCCTGGGGCTTTGTAATCCCTGCCCCTGATGCCCAGCTGATCAATGGGGGGGAGGAGGGGGGAGGGGAGAGGAGGGAAGAACCAGCAGAAGTCGCAAAACCCCAATATCTTCCTGGAACCAGGGACTGTCCAATTTGGGAAACAGGTAGAAAGTGGAGGCTGCTTGAGCAGGGGAGGGGAGGGGAGGGGAGTAGCATGGCAAAGCCCCCAGCCCACTTTTCACTCCAGAGACTCTGGTGTGAGAAGCAAGCAGGGAGCTTGCAGTACCACTGCCTCCACTCAGCTCCTGGTGCCCAGGACCAAAGCAGATGAAGCAGCAGGGCAAAAACCCCAGCCTACTTCTCACAGTGGGGACCCTGGCATGTAAGGAACCATTTGGAGAAGAGATGGCAACTGACCTCCTCTCTCTGGTCTATGGGAGAGGCAGAGACCAGAAAGAGCTCTATGGTTCCAGGAAGGAGTTAAACAGTGGGAAAGTGTACAAATGTTCATTCTCCTGGGAGAAAATATCCTGGGAGTGACTTAACTCATTGCATTCAGCTTATTTTTTCTCCCACAACCACTATTTTTGGTTCAGAATAAACAGCATGAACATTTGTGGCTTCTCATGGGGAGAATCCTTCTGGTAGAAACCAGACATCACAAAAAGAGCATAGCTTGCTGACTGCCTCAACAGGTCTCAACTTTGAACACTGAAACAGGTCTCATCTTTGCTATGTAACAGTGTAATAAGGAAACAAAAGCAGTCTAAGGGTACCAACAGATATGAGAAAAAAAATGGCGCCTTACCAGAAGAGGAAGCACTTTAGTTTGACCTGGTTTGCCCAATGCCTGTATAGATCTGGTGCTTCAGTAGGCTTTTTTGACACTTATCTAATAAAGCTGATTCAATCAACTAAGTGTCATAAAGGCCTGCTGAAGCACCAGGTCTATACAGGCATTGGACAACCCAGGTCAAACTAATGCAATGCCTCTTCTGGGTATGCACTGTGCTCAGCAGAGAGGCTCGCCAAGTTTAAAAGAGAGTGCCGTTTTGGGGGGAGGAGGGGTTGACATTTGTAAGCAGCCTAAGATAGCATTTAAAAAAAAAAAAAAAGGAAAAGAAAAAAAGAATTAGTTGACTCTAATATTATTATAGAAACACTTAAGTAGTTAGGATAATTACATAGTTATGTGGCATCACTTCAGGACAGAGGTTGGCTAGATGCTTTAAGCATGTATTTTCCTTAATATGTTGGATTACTTTAAAGTCTCATCTTATCTCTAAATTTCCTCCATCTGCAATATCTATTTAGATGATAGCTACAGCATCCCCACAAATGCGATTACCCCTAAGTTAAACAGAATATGTTCAACTTTAACTCCAGTTTAGCTTTAAATCGGGAAATAAAGCATACTAACAGCAATACCAATAAATGTTGCCATTACATATCAAATAATGACATATCCATGTCAATCAAGAGATAAGCTGAAAATCAATTTTATATAGCTTTTGAAGGTTTCAGGGTATTTCAAGAGCTTTCTAAAGCACAGTGCCAAAAGATGGCAGTGTGCTGCAAAATGAAGCAAAGCAAATGTCCTAAATCATAGAAAGTCAGGGTTGGAAGGGACTTCAGATGATCACCTAGTCCAATCCCCTGCTCAAAGCAGGACCATCCCCAACCATATCATCCCAATCAAGGCTTTGTCTAGCCTCCAAGGATGGAGATTCCATGACCTCTCTGGGTAACCTGTTCCAATGCTTTACTACCCTCCTAGTGAGAAAATTTTTCCTTTCATCTAACATGAACTTCCCTTGCTGCAACTTGAGACCATTGCTCTTTGTTCTGTCATCTGCTACCACTAAGAACAGTCTAACAGAAATATTACCTTGTACACCACAACAACAATTAAAACCCTTTCTACTATGATAGGTGAGATTACTCAGACCAAAAGAAATCCATGCTGTCAGTCAAAAGTGAGCTTGTGAGTGTACTAAAGAGTTTAACAGGAGTAGGTACCTCTCCAAAGCATCTTATAGAATAAAATATTATATCATATGCATTTCTCTAACTAAGGGTGGACAAAAATACAGCCTGCAAACTGCATTCGGCCCACCAGGACATTCTATCCAGCCCATGGGGCCCCTAAATATACATTTTCTAAATTTATCTGCTTCTGGCTGCCTGTCAAAGATGACAGGAGCCAGGGTCAGTAGGACCCAGGGGAAGCCAGCAGGAGCCAGCAACAAGGCCAGCCAGGCCCTGCCCCACCCCCCAACTGGAACTCTCCATCTGCCAGTTTTCGGGCTGCTCCACCACCACGTGGCCCCCGGCTGCATCACCAGACCGCAAGAGCACAGGGTTCACGCTGGTACCCCAGGGCCAGGAGTGAGAGAGAGCAAGACAGTGCAAGCAAGAGTAAATGAGAGCGAGAGTTCTTAGGGCAAGTCCCACACGCACACCCCACCATGCACATGCACCCACACACAGCCCACACTGCCATTAATGCAGACCCCCACACCCACACCCCTTTACACACCCCAGCAACCCTACCCCCCCACACAGCTCCCACAAACTGCATACCCACTCACACCCCATATATCCACATACACACCCACATGCTCCTTCACCCCACACTCACAAGCCCACACCCTCGGCCACACCCCACATACCAACACACTAACAGCCTCCCACAAACCTATACCCATGTCCCCACCCCCCACAATATGTGAAAATAAGACTTCATTTTAAGCTATTGTACAAGAACCTCTATGTTTCATCTGAATCAGGTAAGAAATGACAAAGTTATAGGTGTTTTCATGATTCCCCATTATAGCCTACAGGTGAAACGTTGAAACAGCACTGAAACAGCAAAACAGCTTTGACAAAACAAAATGGAACAGTGCTTCAAAATGAAACAAAACGATGAAACAAAACACTATCCCTTCGAAATGGCAAAACAGAAGTCGAAATGAAATGGCGCTGTTTCACACAGCCCTACTTCTTACCTGTGTCTGTCATCTCTTGGTTTTGGGAAAGAAACATCTCTTTGCTCTATGTGTACAGAACCTAGCGCAATAAGGTCCTTATCAACTACTGGAGTTTCTATGCACAAGAGTAATATGTAGTAGTGTTGGGGTGATGTAGCCATGACCATCCAGGAAAAAATGTGAGGGGCAAGTAGTTTTGAGAGTGATATCTTCTGCTGGGCAAACAATATAGTTGGGAAGGACATAGACAAACTTTTGGGTTCCACAGTACCTACACTTCCCCCAGGTCTCTAGAAGACAACCAGACACAGCAAAGCTAAACAGCAGATGGAACAAGGGCTTGTGCAGAACTCCATAGGTAATTTCCTTTATATCCTGTTTTAATTTATCAGGTCATGAACAGACAAGAGAGATGCAGTAGAAACTTGGTAAGTGGAAGAGCAAAACTGTTCAGGAGGGTTGCTATCACCTGTAAAGTGCAGAGATTACCAAGTATCACTCAGATTACAATGGGCCAAGACATTATTGTCTGTGTTAAATCCCTGGTTCTTAGCGTCCAATAGGCTAATGAATTTTTGTTTTTAAATTCATTAGCCTATTCAAATTCATCTCTTGAAGGTGTTTTGT